CACCATAGTCAAATGACCCTGATTTGACCAATCAGATAGCTCAGCATTACAAATGAATGCTAGTCATAATCCTCGTTGAAAATATCTCCTAGATTTGGTTTCAAACTTCTATGAGAAAAATGTGTTGATAGGGAGGAATAAAACATGAATGTGTGGAGGGATAATGACGCTGCGAGAGTATTGCCGGGCTATTGATGGTTATGCATTCAGATGCGACCACTTTATATGAGGAAGTCTGTATAAGTTGGTAAGTTATATATAAGTGATTTTTTTTAGACGCTCTCTTCTCGAAATCAAAGTTCTCCCTTAGTAATATATTGCGAATATGCAACCAGTATCTGCTACGGCTGGAGAAATAGAGAATACATTGGTTTGATATGTCTATAACCACTTCTATCAGAATCTGGGACGAGTTTTTGAAGCATGTTGAAGATAATATATCCTATATGATACATTTTTATTACATATGTATCGTAGATACACTCCTCTTTGTAAATTAAGTACCACTTTTCACCTAAAAGAATCTGATTGGCTCTTTCAAGGTCGTCTGAAGTTGGTGTCTATTCTTTACTGTCATACCATACAGACAATCACGGATATTCATTCGACTGGGACGACCTTGAAATATTAGACAGAGGAAACACCTAAAACACCAAAGTTTTTGGAAGCAACTGAATAGGTAATTAACAGGCACATACTGACAGATAAAATTTACCAATCCATAAGAAGAAAATCTCATGCAGAAAAATTCAAACTTCACATCAAGGAAACCAATCACGATCAGCACAAGTGAACTAGAAAGTAAGGGAAAATACACAAAAAAAAACGGCCAGTCACTTTCAGGGTTACCAGGAGACAGATAGTTGAAATAATAGAGAAGATTTGTAGCTCAGGTGGATGATTTACAATTAAAAGCGTTCTCTGAGCTGGTTGGTTTAGTCGCGAAGCTTTCGTCATCCTTCCGGACAACATCATCAGCGCCATATTTAGCATAAAGTGAAATGATTTAAATTTCCTCATGCGTGATGTAATTGCGTCTCCTGGTTACTATCTTCACATATGTATTGACCACTTTCTATTGACTAGGATTTTAAACTTTTTGGTCAGTTGATTTACTTTTTACCTCGATTCTATGGTAGACCGAAACTACACAAACCAAATATTCCCTTACGACCAATCGTTTCGCTTCCAGGAACACCAACATATAATCTATCTAAAGAACTTTTCAGGAAATTAAATTACCTAACAGAATCATGCGACCATTCTATCAATTCGTCAATCCAATTTTTAGAGAAAATCAAAAACATTCAAGTAGAAGACAATGAAATAATGGTGTCCTTTGATGTCACAGCATTATATACTTCAATTAGTCCAAAACTAGCAATAGAAACCATGCAACAATTACTCTATAGTGATGAAAACACAAAAACGCAATTATCAACTTGGATAGAACTCATAAAATTATGCCTTACAACATACTTCCAGTTCAATACTCAAATATATGAACAAATAAAAGGAACACCAATGGGATCGCCCATATCAGGATTAATAGCTGAAGCCGTTATGCAAAGATTAGAATTAATAGCTCTACCTATAATTAAACCGAAAATCTGGATACGTTACGTTGATGATACATTTGTAATAATTAAGAGAAATGATTTAGAATACACTCATAAATTAATAAACAACATATTTGAAGACATCAAATTCACGAGAGAAGAAGAATTAGATAACAAAATCCCATTTTTAGATGTCTTAATCAGGAGAACCAACACAGGAGATTTAGAGACACAAGTTTATAGAAAATCAACGCACACAGATCAAATACTCAACTATACTAGCAATAATCCAGTTACTCACAAACGAAACTGTGTGCAGACATTGTTCAAAAGAGTTCAGACACATTGTAGCACTCCAGAGCTGAAAAGAATGGAAGAAAACTACCTACAAACGGTCTTCAAAAAGAATGGTTATCCGCAAAATTTCATCAAAAAGTGTTTAAAGTCGAATCAGAACACCAACAAGGAACCACCATCAAAGACCACACGAAAATTCATTCTACCATACATGAGGAACATCTCTGAAATAACAGCTAGATTACTGAAACCGTTTGATATAGATATAGCACACAAACCAGTAAAATTGCTTAATTCAATATTATGCAAACCAAAAGATCCAACAGAAAAAGGGGATAAAATTAATACCATCTACAAAATAAATTGTATGAACTGTAACAAGCATTACATCGGCCAAAGTGGGCGTCCCCTCCGAATCAGAATCCAAGAACATAAATCAGCCGTGAAAAGACATGATATGTATTCGTTAGTATCAATGCATGCAGACAACTATGGTCATCAGTTTGATTGGGATCATGTCAAAATCTTAAACAGAGGAAACACGAAAAGTGCCAGAGAATTCCTAGAGGCCTGGTACTCAAGCGAAAATGCGATTAACAAACACGTTAATATAGATGAAATATACCAATTAATAAAAAGTAAATCAGGTGACCAAAAAGTTTAAAATCCTAGTCAATAGAAAGTGGTCAATACATATGTGAAGATAGTAACCAGGAGACGCAATTACATCACGCATGAGGAAATTTAAATCACTTCACTTTATGCTAAATATGGCGCTGATGATGTTGTCCGGAAGGATGACGAAAGCTTCGCGACTAAACCAACCAGCTCAGAGAACGCTTTTAATTGTAAGACAGATAGTTGATAAAGTCGTAGAGGCAGACACTAGAAATGTTGCTCAGTATAAAGCAAAATAAGCTTCGCAAGTAAACTATCATCCAGAGCTTAGAAGAACACACATCTACATCAAAATGACCAACAAGAGGATAAAAATGATATGTTGTCACGTGATGTCTGCTTTGTTTTGACAGTCTAATCTATTTTGCTATATGCTTATTGACCGTTTATTCCCTTATAACTCGTAATATATCTTGTCTGTTCATTAACTAAATAAACAATGTATGACCTTTTGTCACATGATATTACAACCCATCAGAATCCAGTGGTAATAAGAAAAACTACTATCTGTCTTCATTATGGATAAGATTTTATTTTGATAAAATCACACAGTAGTGCTGTACAGTAATACTAACTGATGATCACCTTTCCAGCACAAACTATTGCCACTCATAATCATATCAAGTCACTCACTCACAACTTTTTCCTTTATTTATATAGATGTATGGAATTCATGATTAGACATTTGAATAAAATCAACAATATAGGATAATGTACATTCAGAAATAATAATATGAGTGTTAAACTTTAAGCACCACTAACTACCAATGGAGTGCGATCGCACCAATGATCTTGAAATGCTCACTGAGCAAGTTAGTGATATCTGGCAAATAATGTTGCCACCAGCAATGAAATATGCTTATCGAAGTGTTATGTTAGTAAATAGAATATCTGGCAAATTTCAGCTTAGGTTTGGGACAATTTAGGGTTAGGCTAACCTAATAAAGGCGACATTAGAGTTGGTTCGAGTTAGATTACAGTGAGTTTAGGGATATTTTCACGTCAGTGGTAGGTTCGGGAAAGATCAAGGTTATTGTTAGGTTTAGAGAGACCTAAATAATTACATGTATAGAATGTGGTTAAATTACTCTGTTGATATAAGAATAGAACTTGTGCACTATGGTAGATTATAATTCCATGGTGGGTTAAATTTATTCTGATAAAGTCTCATAGTGTTATACAGTAGTAATATTTACTGATGACCATGTTTCGAGCACAATTCATTGCCTAGTAAATATTACTGTATAAAACTATGAGACTTTATCAAAACAGTGGAATCATACTCTGTTGACACTCCAACCTAAAAATGAGAGCTACTTTTATCAAATGTGAGGGCAAGGTATCCTCTGTAACACTTTCCCACAGCTTTTATGCATATTTTTATAGATATATGTATTCCATACACAAAAGTGCCTCCTTCACGTCATTGGTGCGTCCTAGGTCATTTGCTGATTGGCATTTTGTGGTACTTAAGTTTAACTTTGCCTCCCTTCATTTATATACATGAGTGAAATTGATGATTAGATATTGCACTAAAAATCAATATGGGATAATGTAAATTCAGAAATAATAATAATATGAGTGTTATTAATCAATTACAATCAGATGGGAAATAAGACGAGTGTTTCTATAGTCATAATAAGTAACTTGTTATAATGTTGTGATGTGCTTGAATTGAAATAGAATTTCCCATGTGATTGTAATTCATCAATAACACTCATATTATTATTATTTCTGAATTTACATTATCCCATATTGATTTTTAGTGCAATATCTAATCATGAATTCCACTCAGGTATATAAATGAAGGAAAAAGTTGAGTGAGTGAGTAACTTGACATGATTATGAGTGGCAATAGTTTGTGCTCGAAAGGTGGTCATCAGTAAATATTACTGTATAAAAACACTGTGTGATTTATCAAAATAAAATCTTATCCATAATGGAGTTATACCCTACCACAGTGCCCAAGTTTTATACTTATATCAATAAATACTATCTGTCTTATTGCTTCATATATGTTAGTTATTTCCTGTAAACTCTTGTATTGTACAGTTAAGTTAATTCTCACTTCACAACTCTTTCGTACTTTTCCACTGACACTCCTGTGTGACAGTTAATTTTCCTTATTGGAAAATACACGTATCCATTCGTGAACGTTGTGGTGGTCTTCTAATTTTCCTCCTTCACATCAGGACAAATTAACTACTCAGCAATACCAGTCTGTACACGTCATCGTCCGTTATATCTCATTAGCGCATATTTCCACTCGGTCATAACACCATAACATATTGGCGACGACACCATAACAAAAGAGTACACAATTCCACACCGGTTATAATTTCAGGAAGATAAAACCACCACTCAAACCAGATGGCGGCCTAGTTCTTGTTTGTATTCTTAAAAATGCCACACCCAAACCTCTTTCTCTCTATATATTTCTACTAATTCAAAAGACAAAACAGTCTTCCCCTGATATAATTTCACATTTGGTAGGCGAAATGTAAACTTTATTTATATTTAAGAAATTAATATGTCTGAATATGAAATACACAAAGCAAAGAACTAGAGACAAAATAAAAGATGAACACAATTGAAAAAGTCGCAGTAGAACAGAATGTGAATAGTAATCATGTTAATAAGCGAAGAACTCGACCAACATTTGAACATACATACACACGCGCACACGAACACGCAGACACACACACACAAAACACAAGATGATTCGCAACATCCCATTAACAATGAATACCGGGACACGATTAACATGATAGTAGTACAAAACGCAGTAAAGTGTATTTGAAGACTCTTTGAAGAAACTGTCAACACTTAGTTACTACTTCATCCAATTGGCGATTTGAACTTAATCGGACTTCTTGTCTTTGGCACCAGCACCTTCTAACATTTGCAGACGGTACTGAAATAAGAAAAGACAAGATAGGAAGAGAGAGTGAGTGAGTTATAAAACTGACTGATCGATTGAGTGAGTGAAATGAGTAGTATATGTATATTATTTTTTTATTTTGATTACACAGCTTGATTCCACACCGTATTTTCAGTACAAGTAGGGAATATTCAGCATGGATATCGGTGGCGAAATTCTGCAGGCCAACAATATATATATATACCAAATTCCAGATGAAAATTCCTTTAACAGGTTTCTCACTTTCTACTGTTACAGTTGGTGTAGCTGCCTACATACAATGAAGAGTCGATGGCCAGCTGCTTTTGAAGAAAGAGACAAGAGAAGCTTCTTATAAAGACTTTGAAGCCGTCACTGAGTTTGTAGGCGTCAAGGATCTGACGGGGAAGTCGGTCATGCTGCAGACGCTGCTGAGAGGTCGAGCAAACGTAGCGTACGACAATGTGGAGCAGTCAGCTGGGACGGAGACCTGGAAAGTATTGGTTGTTAGATTGATGGCAGAGTTCGACACACAGGCAGCTGGCGATGCAGTAGTTCCATGCCACGAAGCTGGGTCGGACAGAGACGTGCTAGTGTCGGCCGTCAAGCTGACAAACCTATCTCCCTGCTATTTGATGTTCTCATGCTGATGAACATCTCTTTATATGCACACACCACACTAATGACACAGTGTGGAATTTTCAACATCTGGTAGTACAATATTGCATCTAATTTTATCGAATAAAATTTAAAACAATTACAGGATTGTTAATGGCATTTCTTATTTGGTATTTGTAGCGATAGTAAAATCGTAAACATACAAAAAATTGTAAAATAATGTTAGTAGCTAAGATTACCAGTTAATTTTATCTAGCCACATTGAAAACAATCTTTTTAAAATAATATTATAGATTTGTTAATGGCTCTTCTTACTTGGTATTTGTGATGACAGTGACGTCATATATAAATACCAAAAAATTGTAAATAATAACAATAAGGTGAATAGCTAAGATTGTCTGTTAGTTGAGATAGTCTCACCATAGATTACAAAATGGAGAAAATTAAAAAAGAGCCGATTATTTTGCTAACAGTAATTCATAAGTTTCACGCTTTACCTTGTCTCTGTCGTATAGAACAAAGGAAAAATGTGGTGTCGTTGAGTTCTTATACTTCGTAGTACAAGTGTATATGATCTTTTGTAATGACTTCGCCTCACTCAATAAAACGCGATTTTATATAATCATAGCTGTCCACATTGTATCTCCCCATGTTAGGTGATATAATAGGGTGATGGGATGAGACAGTGGGATGCCCAGTGTCCCCATTTCTATTTAGTAATTTCATCATAGATGTACTAATGGACTCAACCCTAACTCACTTAAGCGACTCAGGGATTGACCTGTTACCAGGGCAAAACCTCGTTGACTTAAAATATGCAGACGATATTGTCCTCCTAGGTGAAGATGCTGACATAATACAGAGTCTTTTGAATACCTTAATCTGCAATCTGTGAATATGTGGTATGCGTTTCACTCGCGACAAATGTAGGATGATGCTACAGGACTGGACTACATGGACTCCTAGTTTAGAAATAGGGAGCGAAGTGGTTGATGGAGTGTGTTGACCACTTGACTTATTTGGGAAGTTGTATCAGTCTCAATGGGTTGATCTCTGACGAAATCTCAGCACGGATGCAGAAAGCTTGCTTCACATATGCCAGTTTACACCATCTCTGGTATCCCACTGGATTTCGACCAAAGGCCGTGTATACAGCTCATCAGTCCGCTCTGCCCTCCTTTATGGCTGTGAGACCTAGTCATTGAGAGAGGAAGACATGAAACGACTAGAGGTCTTTGATCATAGGTGCCTGTGTTCTATCTCCCATATGAAGTGGTATAACAGGGTTAGCAATATTGAGATGAGGCGTCGAGTGCTAGGTAAGAACGTGAAATCAATAGACGAGTTGGCTGTGAATTTACATCGATTGAGATGATTAGGACATGTGTTACACATTCCTAGCCGTCGCCTTTCTCGACTGGCGATGTCAACTGACATAGAGTCAGGTTGGAAAAGACTTCATCAGTCAGTGAAATCCACAAGTCAGTTTAAGCCACGTAGGAAGGTGTAGACTTCCTGGTTGGGGTCCTGGAGACAGTAAAAACCAATACCTGGAAACAATTGGTGATATGGCTCAAAATCGTTCTCAATGACTGGCGCAGATACGTCCACTTCTTGTGACTTATTTGAAGCTGCTACTGCTGAGTTTCTACGTAGAACTCTACATAGAAGTGCAGCAGTTCTCGTTGTCACACTCTGTGTGTAGCACACAAAGGTAGGGGGAAAAGACGAAAAAAAATCAAAAGAACTACAGTGATCACAAATGTTCTGAAGGAAGGAAGGAAGGAAGGAGTACAACACAATGGAGCGTACCCTAAACATGTTCGTTCTGTTTCCAAACTCATAATGCACTATTCTTCAATATGTATGCAATCAGATGCAATCCAATAACACAATCATTACGTGCCCTTTAGCCATTCACCAGTCGTATTCAATCAACGAATTCAAAAATCTTTAATTCTGGAAGCATTCAAACACCTCCTCACACACACTATCAATAAATGACAAATATACACAGATATTCAGAAAAACATATATCGGCAATCACAAAACGAAATTTAGTATGATGACTAACTAACTCACCTGTAGTTTTTGGCACTCCTGAGTCACTCGATCATATTCAATATTAGTTTGAAGACTTTGTTTCTTCAAAGTTTCTAAATCTCGTTTGGTTTGTTTGTGAGCTAGAAAATTTAAAGTTATTTTTTTTTCAAAAAATTAAAGAAATAGAAAATTAATCCTTTCTATGGGACAACTAACAAAAGTTTATCTAGAACATGCATTGATATTAGTTAGAAAGAACCATATAGGAAACCAGAGAGTATTGGACAGTTGTTTCGTTCTTGCTCGGGACTCTTCAGCAACGGTCACAGCCCACTGACCAATAGCCCATCAATTCTAAACTCTGTCAATTCGCAACTTTTAGCATCAAATCCACCAGCCAATGTCATCACTGAGGAGTTATTCTCACGACGCGACTCCGCCGACCCCACTGGTCGTTTATTTCCCTCACCAGACCTCCAGGCAACTCCATCTTGTAGATAATAACTAGTGGGCATGAGATTAATCGATCAATAAGCTCATCTTTTAACTTGAATGTCTTGCGCATCGCTCCCTGCCCCTGGTTAAGGGATATGGGTGCGTACTATTGAAGATTCCCCAAGTGAGCAGAAACAGTCACTCAGTGTTCCCTGCTTTTCAATGGCTCTCCCAACTGATACCGACCCGTGATCAAACCTCATACTAATAATCAAGTCCCTACAAACTAGGATACTTGGGATATGTTTCTCAGGTAAGAGGCTAAGAGACATACTTATTGTGTGCGGGTTAACGATACTAGCCAATTTTTGTATTCAAGCATACCAGTTTAAAATTGCTATACTTAGCAATACTCCAAAAGCATCTTAAACAACATACAACATACTGGCGACACCTGAAGAGAACCACTGAAAACCAAGGAGTAGTGGGTAGCTGTTTCGTCCTGGCAAGTAAGTGAACTGTGTGCCACAGAGTTTAAAGTTAACTTTACTTGCTTCTTTTCCATGGATTTCATCTGTGGTCATTGATTGATAGTGGAAGGTATGAAAGAGGTAGATGTCACCAACCACAGATGTTCGCCTTTCTTCTTCCGTGGTCAGTGGTATAATATAGTGAGAAATATTGAGGACCGGTGTACAGTGTTAGGTTATGGAGGGGAAGACATGTTACGCATGCTGAGCCATCACCTGACATAATTGACACATGATTTTTTTAGAGAAGAGTTCCGGGTGATCAAATTAAAATGTGATTGTTGGTTTCACAGCCTGCCAACTACAGTCCTCGAGATACGTTAAGAATCATCGGCCGTACAGACCGCTTAATCATTGATGACACTGAATCGTAAGTTGACACTGTTAGAGTCCGACTGCTTACGCCAATGACCTATATCTACAGTTACACCTAGGTGCTATTTGAACTAAAAAAAAACAAAAACAATAACACTTCAACTATTCAGAGCCTTACTCAATCAACCAGAACTTGGCCGCACACACAAACAGGTGAAACCATTAGTCACTACACAATAAGTACAGTGCATGGATATGCATACATCTGCTCACACTAACTGCTTGACTGTTAATTAGATTAGGTTGGAAATGGACAGATGCTGGTCTGTCACTGTAAGAATTAATTTACTGCTCATTAGCCACCCCCAGGTATCTTAACCGAGTGAACATAGAGAAAACGAAGTTGATGAAGACATCCACGCACCAACAGCAATAACAACAACAACTAGCACTAATCACCATCAACCGGGGTGGGGGGATTTTACAGAAGTCACTTCTTTCACTTATCTGGCTAGGATGCATTGTTTCAACCACAGACAGTTAGCACGGATGAAGATGTCAAAACTAGCCAATCAGAATCGGAAAGGCAAGATACGCTTTCATCAATCTGAAACCAGTTTGGAAATCTTGCGCACTCCACCTCAGCACAAAGAACAAGATTAGAACTTTCAACACAAATGTCAATGAAGTCAGTCACTAAAAGCATTTCCAACAGGTGCTACTGCTGACTTTTACTAACAGTTGCCTTCGCTCCGTATTGAAGATCAAATGGCTAGAAAGGAATTGGCAACAAAAATCTCCGGGTAACGAACCAATCCAGAACCTACTGCTTAACAACAGAAACACCGAGCAGCAAAATGGAGGTGGAGCAGATACACTCCACTGAGAACACAGGCCACAGATGACATCGTGCGCCAGGCCATCTCGCGCTCGAATGAAACCTGAATACAAAACGACGAGTTGGGTATGGATCCGAGGGTGATAATATCTGAATCATTGACTTACATACGACTATCAGTGAGTAAAAATCTGTTTTGCCATGCAAGTTAAAGTAAATCCAAACTTACTAGCCTAAATAATAACACCACCTCACAATATACACACATACACATAAAATCAAGCAAAGAACCACTACGCAATAAGATTCACTAACCTTGCTCTTCTGATTCAAATTTCTTTTTTAGGTTCGACAATTCATCCTTTAGTGCTTCTACAGTATCCGGCTAAATATATAATCAATTTGGTGCAGAAAAAAACAACAAGAACAACACAAAGATGATTTAACAATCAATAAACAAATTGTGGAGCGAGTTATATCAGCCGCTGCTGCTCTAGGAACTTTATTTTTCGTGCTCGCTCGAGAACATCTCCCACTATGGCTAAGTAAAGGTGTAGTGAAAACCATCATCAAAAGTTCATTATTGGACCATCTGGTGCAAACCGGCCGGCAACAAAGCCAGCCAGCATTGAAGAATCCTTCTTCTTTATCATCTACCGGGTGCCTAATAAATTGCCAAAATCAGCGAAGCACCGCATGCTCCAAATAGCAGAGGCTATTGCAATTCGCCTCAAACAACCAGTGACCTGTGTGCAGAAGAAGCAAGTCCAGCCAGCCCCTACTACTGCCCTGGTCAGTCGTCAGTAGAGACTAGAAATTCATGAATTTGTAATATTATCTTTCTTAATTTTTCTGACATTCAGTTTATTTTATGTTGATGCTACTGAGCTGTAATCCACTGATATCATTATTGATTCGATGTTATTTAAACAGCATTAATGTTGTTCATAACACTAATTCATTCATTCACTATAATGTATATGTAACTGTAGAGCCTGATGATGAATTTATCAGAAAGAGTTCTCTTTGTTCAGTATCCATTCTTTCGTAAATTTTAATGGGCTATTTTAATCAGGTCAACACGCTTCAAAAGGCTATAAACCAAATGTAGTGTATATAGTATTGTCTAGTATAGTATAGTATAAGTATATACACACAGTAAGAAATGCTAACGCATGAAATTTCTAATTGGATACTGAAAAAAGTTTTGGCATTGATGCAACATTTTTTTTCTAATCAGTATAGATCAGGGTTCATAACACTTGAATGAGTTTATTTTATTGAGTTGAGAATGTCCAGGGATTCGGCGTGCTCAATAATAACTACTGCCTGCCGATAAAATTCCTTACATTCATAAGTAGTGATATTTTAAGGGTAATTCTGACGTTCGACAGACAAAATAAAATTTCAGTTAGCGAATGAGGTCATCATAAGACACAGCGATCTCGGACCGACCGAATAGGTAAATTGGAGATGATCATTTGGCATACCTCCTGGAGATTTTTTGACGAACCAATTCTATGGTTATTACTAATGGAACAGTTGAAGACTGTCTGTGACACAATGCAAAATCAATCACAACAACACACAAATACGTTCACTATTCACCACTTTTAGGAAAAGCTCCATATAATTATTACCGAATCTAATTGAATTTTAGATTTTCCCGTCGATTGATTGGACCGAAGTAGTGCTTGGTCTCAGGTTGACATATCGGCTTCTTGTGCAGATGCTTCGACGATGTCTGAGCATTCAATTAGTATTTAATTGGTGGATGGTGACTAGCAGTGGAATCCAGCCAGGATGCGCATTTCGTCCTATTTGGGACTCGTCCCCCTGCCGGATGCACCTGCATTCCCCAGTGAGTAGTGATGTTCCCACTGAGGGTCGAACCCAGTGCCCGTAGTTTGAAACGCCAAAGTGTTATCCACTAGACCACTTGGGCCACGAGAGCCACTGTCTCTTGTGCAGCGGGTCATATTAATTATTTTTCATTGAATTTTAGATTTTCCCGTCGACTGATTTGACCGAAATGCGCATCCTGGATTCCACCGCTAGTCACCATCCACCAATTAAATATTACCGAATCTGTCAGAGTAGAATGAAGAACGGAAGAGTCAATTATCTACTCCTGTCACACAGACGATAACTATGAGAGCACACTGATGCCAACAACAGCAACGAAAGCTCTCAAGAGGTGAAAACTAGTCTGCTCTAAAATAATGATAATAAGATTCAACCCAATCGGTAGGAAAGTTACAGTCACATACAGCTATCCTCCCACAAACAAGCAAGACTCCAGTCTGGTGACAAAACCAAATCCTTTGCAGATAATTCTGAGTGTTATTTGGTTATTTGATGATTGGAGGCAGAATGTACAAGCACAACGGTATATAAACAAGGCAACGTGGTTTTCACCGGATGGATACATCAAAAATTCTGATAGACTTCAGCTACATCTCAAAATAATGGAAATGCACAAAAAAGAACCGAGAAGATAAGCACAGGAAGCCTCATATAGATCAAAATTTAAGTTTAACCCTCAGAAATTGAAGAACGAAGCTAAAAGACGACACATTCACTGTAGTCATCAGGAAAACGTCAGAAGCATTAAGCAACATCACTGAGGAAACCGGTGTGGAAGAAAACTCTCTGAAATCAATGCCGTAAGAAGAACAGACAAAACAAGGAATGGTTCTCTATGCACACCAAGAATCACAATGCATTGTAAATTGTTGATATAAGATAGTTGGAGGCAATCGGCCACAGGCAGCCTTGAACATGAGTTCCTCTTCAAAGTTGCGGATAAGCCTTGAAGACGAGTGTCAAGTAGCACGAAACTTACGTGAAAGGCCCCCTTGCTAGTTGCCTCCAACTATCTAACACCAACAATTCAAAGTGCATTGTGATAGTGAGGCACCTAATGGAGGCCACACTCTGCACCAAACAAAGGACTAGGAACAATAGAGTAGTTACTAGCTAGTGTCTAATCAAAATGCAATTGACTGTTGAGTAGCATCCCTTTCCTTCCTCTTGAGTTGCATTACTGATATCACTGAACCTCTAATTAATAATAACAGCCAGTCTTTCCTAGTCCTGGTAACTGGATGCCTTTACTCTCTCCCTCATTAGATTACATAACCTCCTCTCTCTTTCATAGAGTGCAAATTTGCTTGTCTCTTGTTTTTTATGGTTTGAGTTTAACTCACCGCATTGTTACTCAATTTACTTGTCACCTATCATCTTATTCATCTCCCGTCTTTATCACGTAACTCCTTTATACTATTGTATGTATACAATTATTTTTTTATTTAAAATTGAAATCTCTGGATAAAACCTTTATGAGTAGTGTAATTTTCTTAGCACAGTCTGGAATTTTCTGTCGCTAACTGATATCATGTAACATTTGCGAGTACGTTAGAATTGTTCTGTACATAAACTTAGTAATTCCTTTAGTCTGTACGCAGCTGATGAGAAGTCGACTGTTTTATTTAAATTAGTAAAGGGGATAAGGCTGGGATAGACTTCGTGGTGGTCAGACCAAGCTATGGAATCAATCAATGAAATCTACAACAGTTACTTTGAGCTAGCCATGTAAAGAGGTGTAGGTAGACTGCCTGCCTACTTGGTTAGGGTCCTCGAGATGACAAGAACCAATGACGGTTTGCACATATGTGCGGTGGTTCAAGTCGCCACACTCCCTCCTTGTAGCACACAAAGCAAGAAAAGAAAGTAGGAGAAACGCATATAATAGACAGTAAACAGAGGTGTGAGACAAAGGAATAGTAATAACGAAGAACAATATATTTTCATTGGGTATTATAAGTCACAAGCAGTGGATGTATCTGCGCTAACCATTGAGAACGATTTTAAGCCATATCACCAATTGTCTCCAGCATTCATTGGTATTTACTATCCTGAAGACCCCAGGCGATGTGGCTGGCTCAGAATCGTTGTCAATGTACAGCGTAGATGCATTCACTCTTTGTGATGATTTGTCATATCCAATAAAACTCCATTCTTCTTCCATTTTCCCACTATTCTTTTTCCCTCACTCATACTTCTGTTTATCATATCTCTCTTTAATCTCTTCTCTTGTTTTGGATGCTAAATTGGGGAGGGGGAAAAAGCGAACTGAAACTGCTGCACATCCGCGAAAGGTTCTATGTTGAAACCAGTCGATTATAAAAGCAGAATAGATAATATTTGAAGTTTTCTATAATTGGTTTGTAATGGTTAGTTTTGTTTTTATGAGTTGATCACGGATTGATATCAGTTAGAGAACCATTGAAGACCAGCTGAGAATACTGGACAGCTGTTTCATCAGCCTAGTTTGGTAATTATCGGCGGTACGCACCCACCACAGGGTTTGGTACCTAGGACCTTCCGGTTACAAGGCAAGCTCGTATACTATTCAGCCACTGGGGCCCGACCCGATTCAGTGGCCGATGAATTCCAACTTCTACCAATTCGTGATTTAGCGCGACCACCAACCAGTGTCGTCAGTGGGACATCCATCCTCACACGTGACATCTGGATGGACCTCACTGGTCACGACTTCTCACTAGAACCCACCCCAGGAAACTCCATCCTGTAGCAAGTCACTAGTGAGCATCAGATTAATTTTCTATAGTTGGTTTATAAGGGTTCGAATCCCTGTGTTAGGTGCGTACTGCCAATGATTCCCAAACTAGACTGATGAAACAGCTGTCCAGTACTCCCTGCCGGTTTTTAATGGTTCTCTAACTGATATCAATCCGTGATCAACTCGTAAAAAATACTTGAAGTAATAATGCAGCTGAATATAAACGAGTGACCATGTGTAGTATAAAAGATTATGCATGTCAGAAGATGAATGAGTAAGATCCCTCAGTACCACCTACGCATCTAAGTCACAGTAGATGGGGTGATATTTGAAGCTAAGTACTCCTCGTGTGAACAAAAATGAGTAAGTGACCAAACAAGCGACTCAAAATTATACTTTAGAAGCAGGCCATCATTCCACTTCACTTTACTTTCATCATAGGTTGAACATGCTTTTCTACGTGTCTGTTTGTATGCTTCTGCCCGCACTTATTGATTTATCGCCTAATTTTCCCTTAGCCCACTTATGACCTTTGAAATCCTATTGGTTGTTCACTATTTTAATTTATCAATGACATTGGTGCCTCTCACAATCATTTTTAGCATGTATGCGTACACAAGTATTGCTGTCATCCTTTTTCGACTAATAGTAAGGTGCCTTTTCAGTAGAATCCAACGAATATGCACTGAAGACACACTTGATGAAGAGGAAAGAAAGTTGACACGCACTCTGGTTGATAATAATTATCCAGACAAGTTCATCAAGAGATATAAAGTAGTCAGAACACCAAGACACACTCTCCAACTCGCCCCCAGAGAAAGACGTGTACATCAAGCTACCCTATGTGGGGTATCATAGCAGCTTGATAACTAGACAAAGACTGAACACTGCTGTTAAAAAGACTTTTTATGCAGCTAATATCATAATAATTGAGAATGTGAAGCCCTTTGAACATGCGAAAAATCATGTCACATCCTACTGTATTTACCAATTTGAATGTACATGTGGACACACATACATAAGGAGGACTCATCGATCTCTGCAAGTAAGTGCTGGCTTCAAAGCGTATTCCTAAATGGCTCCAGAAACAGATGGAATCTTCAGAACCCATTAATGGTGAGAACAGGAGACCTAGCTCCTCTATTGTGAAACATATTATAGAGACAGGACATAAAATTGACGTTAACAGATCTTTTTAACCTATCCTATAAAACGTGTTTGGAGTAGGGCGAATCCTAAAGTTTGTGGAAGTCCTAGCTGGCAATTAGAAAGTTTAAACCACCTGTATGCGTTCAAAAACTATTCGTCATCACATTAAACCTTCCTTGGTAAAATTTTGATTTGATACCATAGCAGATGTAATACTGTGGTGAGAGCTGGTTGCTAGCCAAAATGGGTAGACAGCAATCTACATCACTGTTTATGTCCCAAATATTGGTCGTGAGAAAAATAAGAACAAAGACTTTGCGTAGGCGGATACAGTTAGCATATAGATGATCTGACATTCAAGAAACAGCCACAAAGAGATGAAAGATTAACTTTCAGTGAGAAACAACCAATCAGAAGACTGTGTTTGTTTGCTTAACTAATCTATAATAATGTATATGAAAATATATAAATATGCTTTGATTTCCTTAATAAACAATCTGTTGCCTGGCCCTTGTCTTCTGTTGTTACACTATTACCTCTGCTATTTGGTTTAGTGATGATCTTCATTGTTATTTTAACCTTGAGTATGTCCTTTTAACTTGACCTAAGCAGTCTATTTTCTCACCTCTTACCTCTTTATTAATTTCATATATACACATTCCTATGACACGTCCGTGTGTGTGATCAGATTGTTCGAAATATGTTACGCAAATACAACAATACACGATTCAGACAAATTACGTCTTCTTATTGCTTTATCTAAATTCATAAAGGGAACTAATTGTTTTATATAACTATAGTCTGTTGTTTTGAGACAGTAAAAGCCACCTTATCAAAACGTCCAGTCTTTTCTCCTACCTAAGCGTGCAGGCAGTATTATTATTGTTGTTAGTGGCGTGCGATTAAGGCAGATTAGCCAGCCAGTCTCTGCATTAAGTTTGTATTCGTTCATAGTCTACAACACTAGGTCGTAGTTCCGGGATCATAAAAGAATATTTCGCTTTTCAATAATAAACAGAATGTCAATTAACAATAATAATACTTGCATGAAATTAAACTTACATAAACGTCTTCAGTATCACTGTCAGTCACCTTCGTATCACTGAGCATACGTTGAGCTGCTTCCGATGCACTTTTAGCCTGTTTAATACTCGCCTCCATACTAGCAGACATTTGAGCATGCTCCGACAACAGGCAGACAAGACGACGTAAAACACTTCAAGAGGAAAGGTAATGAATGATGAATGAGGTAGATTTACATAAGAACCTAACACAGGTTCTCATGATAACACTTAAAAATCATTATACTGTGTGCAATAAAAGTGAGTTATCTATAGTTCAGAATAATGAGAATGAAATAATCTTAGCGTGATGGCAAAACATGTTCACATGTAGCTTAGAAAACATGAATTATGTTTCAGAAGTATATTCACTGGCCAACATTAAAGAATAGAAACCATAGTGAAATTACCTTGAACCAGCTAATCAGATCGTTCAGCACTAGAAGGGGATGCTATTTTCAAAATCTTCGTTGTAAGTCTCACACGCTAACCCTAGTACTCGTTACAGCTTTCATTCTAACTTCAATCATAACCCCACCCCACTTTATCCTACCCTAACTCTATATTAGGGTGAAACTTGTAACAGAGATTGTAAAAAGCAAACATTTGTAATGCTGAGCAATCTGATTGGCCGATTCAAGGTCGTCTGACTGTAGTACTTACTTACTTTACTTTCCTTCGGCTATCTCCTACGGGAGGATGAGCCGGCTTCATGAACATCTCGAATCATCGCTGCCCAGGCGCGGCGATCTGATGAAGAGAGTTCATGAAGTTTCATGGGAATTTGGTACGAGTGATGTCCCCAGAATCGCTCGGCCTTTTGTTTGAGAGTGCAGCTCTAGCCTTTACACAACCAAGTGTGACCTACAAGGCAGTAGGAGTGGAGTAGGGAGTCCACTATCCATTGGCAGCCGGTGACCGGAGTTCGGTTCATACGCCTTTTTGAATGGGGCCAGACATCCAGGACATCCAACAAGCCCTTTGTCCATTCGTCTGCCGGTGAGCTCCAGTGAGCTTCATACGCCAGTCGTTGGAGGTTTGGAGTCAGGGTTTAACCATCTCCCCTAGACTGTCATCCAATGGACAGTCAACCCGGTGAAGAGCGCCGGGCATCCGCTTTCGCCCTCTCACTTTGGTGGAAAACACCTGACTGTAGTGTCTGTTGTCCGCCGCTGTCTACTTACTGTATTATCGGAGTGATAACAGGAAATCATATTTGATTAATTTAATTCTTCTTTATCATAGGGAATGACTAAAAATACGGTTACAAAGATTTTCTTTTCAACGAAGTCACTATCAACTAGGCTCTGCATTCGTGTATTTATAATAGATGCATGGGAAAGTTCCAGAATAATTTCCGGTCAAGAGTCAAATTAATAACAATTACAATTAGGAATTAAAATGGCATAATAAACAAGGGGACGAATGAAACTCAAACAAAGTAGCATCATAATTACTGAGAAAATTGACACTGATTGTGCAATTAGGCGTTAGAAATATAGAAATGACAAAAACAGACAGGATGTTTGGATAAAACAAATCCAGTGGGATCATAACCAATGTGATGAATAATTGTTTATGCAGTCAGGGATTAAATATGTAGAAATAATAAAATGACAAAATATACAGGAAGTGTGGATATGGAAATATGGCAGTGTAAGTAGGGATTAAGAAAAAATTAAACTTAACATGAACGATCAGGAAGTTTGGATAAGAAGGGCAATGGGATAGTCACTATGAGAAGAATTACCTGTTTATGATGATGGCCATTGCAGGGATAAGGGTTGAACGTGTTTCTTTTGGATATATAGCGAGGGTTTAGGCTTTCGGATGTCTTAATTTCACTCCCTGTGATACGTTTGATCGAATTATGAAGGATTTTTCGAAAAGCTAACTTAAAACCACACCATGTATCCAAAAGAAATACATCCAACCGCTGTCCCTGTCATGGCCATCATAAACATGTAATTCTTTTAATAGTGACTATCCCTTTGCCCATTCTTATCCAAACCTCCTGTTCGTTCATGTTATATTTAAGTTTTTCTTAATCCCTATTTACACTACCTTATTTTCAAATCTGAACTTCCTGGCTATTTTGTGTTACTTTATTTCTACATATTTCAGTCAGCTATTCCTTAGGGAACACGTTTCTTACCTTGGGGTTGTGATGGAAACAAATTTATTATTATTTATCAGTACACCATAAGTCCCGCGAAGTTTGAACATTTCCTGATCCCCGGTTCGCTCAGGCATCTTTCGCACAACTGTCGTTAAAACTCACTTACCCAGAAAATATTTTTCATGTACAGGGGAACAGGTGTCACACTATTTTGTGAGTAGTGATGGTGAGCCTATATCCAGTTGATAAAGTTGAATAAAAACTGAGATGGGATTCGAACTCAGTGCCCATAACACCTGCAATCTAAGCGCGCTTACAATCATCATCAACCACTAATTATCACTGAAAACAATCACATCAAATACAAAATGAATCCACAAAAATTACCGGAAAATAACACCAAAAAATATGACGACATAAAAGGAAAACTGAAAATCTAAAAAAAACATGAAAGAGTCGTGAAAAAAAAAGAATAAATTCCTCAACGGATTCAGTATTAAACAGTGGGAATTGTCAGTTTGAAAACAAATATAATACCTTCTCTCCGATGTACCATTTCTCTTCAGCATATTCCCGATCTTTAAAATTATTAAGACAAATGTCCTCTATTTCAGGAATCCCACACACCAAAGAGCATGACAACATCACACACTGGATAGCAGAAACCAAATCTCCACACATATCTTCTACACTCCCAACGATAACAAACAAGCGAAAAATTCCGTCACATGACTTAATCTATCACCTCCATATCTACAACTTGCTTCCATTCATTCACAAACTTCGATATGTGCAGACGACAGACGACGTACTATAAAAATGACCACATTCATTCAATTTCAGAAGTCTTTATCCAACTCACAGAAATCCAAACACTAAATAGTCCTACGAAAAATCAATTAACATACTCCATTGTTTCAATCAAAATAGAGAAAATGCCCTGAACAGGTACTACACCCCAAATGTAGCTCAGCTACACCTGCACGCACAAAACTTCCCACTACATTCTTTTCATCTACTGCCAATTCGTTGTGATACTCCTCCTCCCGGTCATCCTCCAAACAAAAGACAACAAATCAAGACATTCTTCTTCGTGATGACCTACATCTTTGTCCACCGCAACGAGTGGTCCACATGAATATACACATGTGAGGTGTGACGAATTACACTAGTAGTAGTCAGTGACAGAATCACACAATCAATCACAATCCAATCAATCGTGACAGTACTACTAATTAGCGAGGTGACACACACACACACACACACACAATATGTGTGAATAATATGCGTACAATGTCGAATCAACTAGAATAATATTGGAAAGTTGAAATTTGTCTAATGCTCCTCCTCACAACGCAACGCATTAGCTGACTGACTGACAGTAGGTGGGGTGGTGGTGGTGATATAACCATCCTGGACACAAACATACATTGAATGAATGAATGTAAGCCAAGTACTTGCTAGTGGTGGTGGTGGTGGTGGTGGGTGATATCACGATGATTTAGTCCTCCTCTCCTAAACCACGACCGACGTTGGTTGAACTGGTCTATTCCATATGGTTTATTGAGGGATGCCCCCCCCCCACACAGACACAGCTAGCTATGCATACATCCTTCTTTTTCTCTTGCATAAAGGAGGAGACACTTTGAATAATAAAAACTATCTCGAATTCCTCAACAATCATCACCCACCATATAGTGGAAACAAACAATTAAAAGCGAGCAAAATATTCACTGTCATCAGGAGGATTTATTTATTTATTTATATTTCACACACATTTATAAGTATAGATAGGGGGGGTTACTATGGAGAGAATTGATGAACTCCATGTTGACTGACTTCTCCAGTCAATGTAGTCGTAGTGGTAGACACTAATTAATGCATGCAGTCAGTCATACTCACACCGCTGGATGGATGATGACAGCTTGAGTATAGTTCAGCCTACCTCGTCTGTTCACGAGTAGTTCCAGGTCTCCACACACACACACACACACACATACACTTGTGCATAAGGATTGGTAGTCAGTCAATGAGACAGTCAGATTCTTTAAAATGTGTGTCTTCTTCTGTCTATTCGTCGTCGTGAATCAATCGATAATGTGGCTGGCTGGCTGGCTGGGACTGAGACTGGGTAATGGCCTTTACTATTTTATGAATGAATGAGTGAATGAATGCCAATCAGTCAATCATTCATTGACAGTCATGATTTAAAGGAGACTTATTTGTGTAAGTTTGCAGATTAGACTGTGTGAATCACATCACATCACTTCACATCAAATGAACGTTGTTGTGGCGGCGGCGGCGTCACACGTGACAAACACAACATACAAACCAGTTATAGTGTGAACCAACCAACCAACCAGCAACAGGAGATCTCTGTTTGCGTTACATTTTACTTCAAAGTGTTGTACAGTTAGTTAGTTAGTTATATAGCTAGCTAGCTAGCTAGGCGTTTATATACACTCACTACTACACAGATGTGTTAATTGACAACACAGAGATAGATAGATAGATAGTGTAACGGAACAGGAGAAGGCGAAGGCGAAACACGGAAGTCAATGCATATTATTTTCAAGTGATCAAAGACCGTTATTATGCATATTACAGTTTATATTCTTTAGCCAATCATCATCCACTGGGCGTGTGATTTTGGTTTACTACATCGAAGGACATGAAATAGAATGTCCGAATACATACACATATATTTATTATTGTGTTGCTGCTGCTAATGCACAATGCACTATTGACCTGTGGGGGAATGGTATTCAGACGTTAACAACACTAACAAATACAATGATTTTTTACCACAGGGAGAATAATCGTCTCTTCTTTGTTTTGCTTTACATGCTTGTACATGAAGAGGAGGATCTTGAATATCTTCTATTTTCGACTAGAGTGTTTCTAGGTTTATCTCGCTTCCTACTCAATGTAGCGTCAGTGCTTATAGGGTTGATGTTGCAAGGGACATCTACCCTATCAGCACTGACGCTACATTGAGTAGGAAGCGAGATAAACCTAGAAACACTCTAGTCGAAA